CTGTCGAGTTTGGGTACCTTTCGTGGCGTTGCTTCCTTGATGAGGTCCATGGCAAGCGATATGTCTGCATCTTCTACGTTCAGGCAGTGGCGCTTCAGGTGCTGGGCTGGGTGTTCGCTCAATGCGTACGCGCACTTGCCGCAAATCAGTATCCACTCGTACTCATCCAGAGCCAGACCAAGCGATTCCAGATACATTTTGGCGCGCGATGCATCAGCATTTTTGCCCAAGGAAACTTGATGATGAGGATATCGGCGTTTAGGCGCTCCAATGACCGACTTTGGAGCGTTGTTGATCTCCGAAGCGGGGCTGTGAATGAGCATGCCGCCCAGCTCGGCAGAAGTATTCTCTGCCATAGCCATGTGCCTTGCTCTGATGTGCCGTCTCACGCCCTCAGCCTTGGGGTAGCGCTTCTTGCAGCCGTAAATCGGACAGCAAAATTTGCCATCGAGTGCCGCTCGTTTTAAAAGAAAGTTTCTTTGACCGATGGTGATCCGCGACTCTTGTTGATGACGCTACAAGTTGGTTGCAAAGCGATGTGAGAGCGAGACAGAATGAAATCGAACGCCGAGCAGCACGCGAGGTTTATTTTGCGCTGATGATGCGCTTGCTGCTTCTGCGTCGTAAAAGTTTGAGCGCATGATCGACATGTGTGGGTCGACTGCGCTCCACCCTGAGTGCTTGGATGCTGTTGCGTGTTTGTGTCAATTGAAGCACAAGGTCTGTGAATGTCCAGGCTGGTTGACTAAAATCTCCACCTACGAATGAGCAGGTGAGGCCGAACATGGGGAGAAAACGGAGGTGAATGTCACGATCTGGCTTTTGAATGCCAGCCGCCGTCATTGTGGGTGTTTACCGACCTGGCCAAGCAGAAAGCGTGCGAGACCAGGATCCTCGATGACTCGGGTACTGTTGCACGCACCGATACTGATGGTTGCCCCACGCTGAACCACGCCGCCAGCGACAGCAATGCCTCGACTTGGCGACTGATCAAAAAAAAAAAAATGTGACCACACACACACACACAAACACCAACAATATCTCGAGTCTTTTCTAAACGCCGTCACGTTTCCATACAGCTCAGTTCTTCGATTTCCACAAGGTTTGCTACAGAAAGTCAAATCTTCAATTTCTCTGATTTGTTCTACATTATGTCTCATGATTTTAGCTTTATGACTTTAGTCTCAAGACCAAAACGGTTCATTATCCTTTATATTGGATGCAATTACAAGGTCCACTTTCTCCCGACTGATTCAGGCCTGCTGGCGCATCATTCAGTATTCCTGTCAATCGTGTCAACGCCTGTAAGGATCCGTGCACTCTTTTGCATGTGGCGCAAGAGCATCAAGATGCCAGGTGTCAGGCGTTCAAACAGTACTTGGCAAGGCAGGCGA